TTATCTCCTATGCCTGTATCTGGAAAGTGTTCATTAAATATTATAGTAGTAATTTAACTTGATGGAACTATCTCAGAAAAACTTGCCAGGACAGTTTCACAGTAAGAGTACCACCGTGAGGTGGGAATATGTATGTCCCTGTAGATCTGCCATTGGTGTTTGTATGGGATGAAGATATGCTAAAGGCATTGTTGCTATAGCCACCTCCTTCATCCTTAGCTTTCAGATAACCCCATAAGACAAAACCTAATTTGTCATTCACTGATCGTTTAAATGTAGCCAAAACACAAAGTGTATGTTAAGTACACTTATTCAGTTATTAGATAAGTGTTTATTGAGCTTGTACTGTATATATGGCAGGCACTGTTCAAAACACTTGAGAAACATCAGTAAACAAAACAGAAATCCCACCCCCCCCTTGGAGTTTGCATTCTACTCAGAGAAAATAAACATAATAAATAAGTAATTTATATAGTATGTTAGAAAGTAATATGTGCTATAGAAGAGGGATCAGCAGTACTTGAAGGAAGTTTATATGAACATCATTGGAGCTGAGCATATTATCATAGTGATATCTAGTAAGCATTAAACAGAGCAATGAGAAGGGTGAAGCTAGAGCCAGACGTATATCTAAATCTAGGTAGGACTAGTCTGGAATTCAGTTCTATATTGAGCATTATGTGCAGGGTACTTTGACTTACTCTGAAGGGACAGGGTTATCAAAGATAAATCAGACATTGCTTTCTTGCCTTCCAGAACCTACTATAACAAGGGAAGACAGCCATGTAGGCAAGTAGCTGAATAACACAGGTTCTAATTAGCAATATATGTATGTGGTTGCTAAAGGGGAGAAGCAATTAATTTTGACTGGACGATCAGTTAGAGAAGCAGAGAAAATGCAGCCTGAGCAAATTTGACGGAGAGTAAATGTTTGACAAACTACAACAGACTTCTCAGAAAGTGGCTTGCAAATGGAAAAGACTCAAGTGATCATGAGGGAGAGTAAACCTATACAACTAAAACAACAAAGGGCCACAGCTAACAGAATTTCAGGTCTCCTGGTTCATCTTTCCAATATTTGTCTCATAGCCCTTTAAATAATGGGCAAGAATTTTGAAAATGATGAAGCAGTGAGAAACAAAATAAGACTAAGGAGAATAATGATTTAATAAGGGATAAAGGCAGTGAAAAAATATTTTGGATTATTTGATAGAGGAAGTTGTGATAGATTCAGAGATCAACAAAAAGAAGATACTGATTGCTAAAAGAAGAAAAAGAACAAATGTTTTAATAGACTTGAGTAACACTAAACATCATTTATTTGCAACCTGGATTAAAACAATAGTTCCCCATCAGCTGATTTGAGATCTGTCTGTGCCCTGAATCAGGGCTTCAGAGCTCTGGCACTTGATACTGAAGATCACTGCTTTTCTTTAGTTCACTGTTTGCCTACAAGTATTTGGATTTGTAGAGGAATGAACCGTTCATTCAGCTCAATAATTAGGGTATTTGTCTTTTTCTCCTAATGTCATCTGACTGAAATTGAGACGTGTGCTCATTCCAAAATATCTTTACTACATTTCTTGGTTTTGTGAAAGAAAGCAATAGGACAATTGATGTCCATTTTCCTAGGAATTAAGATAGTAAAGGTTCGTTTGGCAAAGCTTGTTAAGTTCACACTCAACGTTTATATTTCACAAATGCTGTCAGCAGCTCTTTGAATAGGAAGCTGACCCTATGAGAGTAAGGCTGGGGCTAAAAGTACTTGCCAGGAGGTCTTTTCAGTAAGGAGAAATTAAAACGAATTATCTGTTATTCAAATCCGTACTCAAAGTATAGATCTCCCTGAGTTTAATCTTTAAAAGATTCATAGATGAATATAATATAGAAAAAATGTAGAAAAAAGGGCTCTTTTTTCCTTAACACAGCTTTTTGCTCCACTCCATGTTGTTGCTATATCATTCTACCTACTGTTAATGAAATATACGTTCTCTTTTTATTAAAATGTATCAAACCATTTTAGTGCATTGGCATATAGAACCATTTTAGTAAGAGAACATTGCTTTAAAATTATATAATGTGCCATTTATATTGCCATAGTGGCAACCCAAAACTAACCACTCATCCAGCTGTTTAAAGGTTTCATTTGAGTTTTATTTTAATGTGAGTAAAAGGTTCTCATTGTCATTGATACTCTTTTCATATTACTCTTCAGTTTATCAGCTTTAGGAAGTACCTTATATGTATTTTTCTCATTAAAAAAATAACAAATTTGGGGGCTTTTGTTTGTTCTTTTGTTTCTTACTGTGGAAAGTATTTGCAGTGTGGAGTTTTAGTAAGCATCTTCACTTTGCATTACAAGGTCTTTATTTGCCCACATTTGGTTACTGATGTATGAAGCCATAAAAAACAGGGAGTTGAGGGAAAGTGACAAAGATGAAGAAGGGATGAAAAATAAGCTTTTTAAGGAAGAATTAAATCTATTTAACTTTAAAAGGGGAGAAGGGGCACAGTGCAAATAGCACTCACTGTACTGATGGACCAGATGACCGGTTTTGAGGCCTGGCTCTACCAAAAATGAGTGATTCACTGTAGACAAGTCACTCTAGAGTACTAATCTGTAAAATGAGGGGATTTGATTAGTTTGGGGTCAACAAACTTTTTATTAAAAGGCCAGCTAGTATTTTAGGCTTTGCAGGCCAATATGGCCTTTCTCAAAACTACTCAACTCTGTTGTAAAAGAATGCTTAACGAACAGGCAAAGCTGTGTTCCAGTAAACTTTATTTACAAAAATGGGCAGCAGGCCACATTTCATCTGCAGGCCTTAGTGTGCTGACCTCTGGACTAGGTGACCGTGAAGATTCCTTTCACATCTTCATTCTGTGGTATTGCTTTATTATCAACATCACATATATGAAAGGATTACTGCTCCGTTATTTTCAATAGTGTATCAGTCAGGGGCTAGCCAGGAGACAGAAACCACAGTTATTTTACCAGAAAATCTGAAATGCAAAGAATGGTTGACTATGTTTAAATGAACTGAAGAGGGAAAAAGAAAACACTGAGTTATCATGGACTTGGCAACTGCAGGAAGCAGCTACCACCTCAGAGCCTGTGTCACAAGAAGAGGTTGGGGTTATTAAACCAGAGGAACTTGGAGGAAAGGCCCTACAAAGCTGAAACTGATCTCTGTGTAAGGCGCCCTGCTCAGCTGATGCTTATATTTCTCCCCTCCAAGGAGGGCTCTGTGGGGATGGGAATTCTGAGGGCTCCTTTTTTTTTTTCTTTCTTACCTTTTTTTTTTTGATAGCTACACAAATATAGATGAAGAACCAAACAAAGGAAAACAGACTTTGATTAAAGCAGGAGGGACTAATAAACATAAGAAAGAACTAATTCACAGAACCACATAGTTATCTTTTCTGGATAGTTTTAGTTTCTGAATGCAGAGATCAAGATTATCTCTTATTCCTCTGTAACTCTCCCAGTGGGAATGGTGTAAGAGTCATTGCCTCCAGTGTTTTTAAATAAAAGATTAAAAAGTAATCTATTCTGGATAGTTTTAATTTCAGAATGCGGAGATCAAGATTATCTCTTATTCCTCTGAGACTTTCTTCTACTGATGTGTAATGTGGCATTTGACTTCCTTTTCTTGGTTTACTTCCCTAGACGAGCTTTCAGAGACTTTTATTTCCTCATAGAAACTATATCTATAAATTTGGATAAGTTCTTCTTGTCTAGGTTTCCAGTAGACCCAAGTAACTGAGGTAATTGCAGTAGTTGAAGGTTAGAGTATATATCTCTTGCACATGTTCTCTCTTATTCTTTTCTGTCTCTCTCTACCTTCATTCTGTTTTTCTCCATCTCCCCCCCGCTTTTTCAGCTCAGAGAGCACTTTGTGACTTTCTTTGTGCCACTTAGTCATAATCTACCTTAGATTGTTGCTTGTGTCTTATATCAACTGGGGATATGGACATTATCTTCATTAGAGCTTTGCAGCCAAGAGTGATCTCATTTTGGTTCCTCTCAGCCACTCAAACAGTCACCAGAGGTAAGCTGGCAGCTAAGCCAGGGAGGGCATCAAGAATAGGGCCTGGCACACAGTAAGCTCTTGGTAAATAATTGCCACTGAAGAACTGAATAACCCCTGGCACAGTATCGTACATAATTAGCAACAAACTGAACCAGCAATTTAATTAGTAATTTATAAGCTCTAAATGATTGTATTCTGACAGAAGTTTGGGCCTGTTGTTGCTGTTGTTAAAAACTGTTTTGTTCTTCGGTGCTTCCTGATTCTTAATTTCTTCACTTTTTAGTTCATTGTGAATTTTCCCAACAGCTCTCAATATATAGCAGTGCCAGTTCCCATGCCATTTTCCCTCTCCCTGTTGTGGCTGGGTTAAAGGGTTTATACATGCAGTGGGGGTGTCATTATTACCTGACTATGTTCAGAGAGCAACTAAGTGTTTTTTGGAATTCATGGACATTGGCAGTTCCCTAAAGACTCTTCAGCAATTCTCTGTTGTCCTGATACCCATCTTTCCAATAGATATATACACTTGAAAATTGTTTTCAGATTTCATTGTTTAGCATGAAGGGAAAATGTTGAAAACAGAGCTTCATGTTTTTCTTACAGCTCAATATAATTTGGAACATGTTTCTCCACTGATGGTGTTTATGCCTTGTTCTACAAATGGTATTTGTGACCCCACAGAAGCAAAATATTAATAATTTTTGTTGTCAGGTACTAATGTGTTTGCCAGCTTGTTGCTAGTACTCTTCATAAGTTCAGGCAGTTGATAGTGGTGAAGGAGCTGAAGACAACTCTTGACATTTTCCCCTGGCACATGTTTGGAACACTGACAAGGACCGTGAGTTCAGCAAACTCTTGGTGGATGTATATGCTGGAGTGAGCTATGATACCCAAGTTGGGATGATACAGACGAACTGAAAGTTTTCTAAACTTGCATATTCTGACTAAACTTTTCTGTCTTGTCAGCCACCAGCTCTGCCCACTTGGAGGACCTTGCTTACCTGGATGAGCAGAGACATACACCTTTGAGAACTTCTCTTCGAATGCCAAGACAAAGCATGGCCGGTGCTCGCACACAACAGGATTTAAGAGGTTGGAACTCCAGAAGGGCTTTGCCTGGTGATTCCCAGGCAAAAGTGTACATGGGCAGTAGGCAAAAAGTTTGTTTCCTATTTCCACTCTTACTGAAGCCTCACATAAAAAATGAGCATGTCACCATAGAAGAGAAAGATAAACACAAATACATTATAGTCATCATAGACATTGTAATTTTGAACAGTTGGAAGCATTGATCCTTGAAATTCTCAAAAGAAACAAGGGTAAAGGTGGTGATGGAGGAAACAACCTTTTTAAGGTCCTAGATTTCAGAAGTGAGTGTTGATTCACTTCAGCCCTAGTGTGAGCTTGGTGCTAATAGTCACATATTTCATAGAGAATTTATTTCATCTTCATCCTAGTGGCCATTTCTGATGACATACAGTCCTTTTACTTATTGGAGTTTCAGACAGTGCTTCTAGTCCTCTCCTGGAAACATTTAAACAACTTATCCCTTTCCCACTCAGGCAACAGTTTCTTTACACTTTTTATGCATACTACTTGTTTCTACAATCAGGAACCTAATCTTTTCAAAGACTTTTCATTTTGTTGATCCTTTCAAAAGACAGTCTAGTTGAGAGACCTGTTAGTGGTATCGCTGCTTTGTGCCTCTGGTTTGTTCAAAATGAACCAAACCGTCTCTGATAGCCTTAATAGATAGGTGGTCGGCTTTCTCTAGTACCTCATAATCCATACTTCTAATATCTCAAGTGCCTTTTTAAATTTTATCTCCTAGATTATTTTCATCTTTCCTTTGCTCTCCTCCTCACCCCTGTCCAATGCTAATCTGTACAGTACCACATGCGTAACTCACACAGGAAGGGTTACATTCATGCCTGCTGTCCATTCTGGAAGTCATTGTGCTGATAGTTTTTCAATGATGACTGGGCAACTAGGAGCATAAAATAATTGGTTGTATTGCTGCAGTTGCCAAACCTCCCATCTACTATAGTGAGTTGATGACCTCCGTCAGTTTTGGTTCCCAATCCTATTCATCCTACTCACCATTTCTTCAGTTAAGCCACATGCTAGTTGCTTAGTATATACAGCTGTGTATTTCCAGCCTAGGAAGTGGCATTATATTAAGCACTACTTTAGTATAGCATTACTTTAGTATATATACTTTAGTATATTTAACACTACTTAGTGCTGATTGGTTGATTATATCCAAAGCCTGAATAAATCTAGTCAAAAGACTAAATAAATGATTTGTGCCAAAACCAGAATGCGTAGCCATAATAAAGAAGATTGAACATATGATTTCACTCACGTGTGGAATTTAAGAAACAAAACGATCATAGGGGAAAAGAGAGAGAGGCAAACCAAGAAACAGACTCTTAGCTGTAGAGAACAAACTGATGGTTACAGGGTTGGGGGGTGGGAGGGCAGGATGAGTTACATAATGGGGATTCAGGAGTGTACTTGTCTTGATGAGCACCAGGTGTTATGTGTGTTAAATCACCAAATTGTACAGCTAAAACTATTATTACACTGTACATTAACTGGAATTTAAAAAAAAAAAAGATTGGATACAACTATTGATCTATATAGATCTTCAGATTTGGCTGAAAATCTGCATTAACATCACTTGCATTTCATTACTGGAAAACATACATTAATTATTTTCTGCTTTGCTAGTCATTGAATAATGGATTTTGTACTGCAGGCATACTTCAGAGATCTTATGGGTTCAGTTTCAGACCACTGCAATTTTAAAGTGAATATCACAATAAAGCAAGTCAAATGGATTTTTTGGTTTCCCAGTACCTATAAAAGTTATGTTTACACTATACTGTAGTTTATTAGGTGTGTAAAAGCATTGTCTAAAAAAAACAATGTGCATACCTTAATTTTAAAATACTTTATTGCTTAGGGGTGCCTGGGTTGCTCAGTCAGTTAAGCATCCGCCTTCGGCTCAGGTTATGATCCCAAGGTCCTGGGATGGAGCCCCAGGTCCGACTGTGCTCAGCAGGGAGTCTGCTTCTCCCTCTCCCTCTGCCCCTCCTCCTGCTCATGCTCTCTCTCAAATAAATAAATTTTAAAAAGATTTTTAAAATACTTTAATGCTTAAAAAATGGTAACCATCATCTGAGCTTTCAGTGAGTCATAATCACTGATCACAGATCACCATAACAAATAAAATCATGATGAAAATATTTGAAATATTGCACAAATTACCAAAACGTGACACAGAGACACAAAGTGAGCAATTGCTGTTGGCAAATGGCACCAGTAGACTTGCTCGATGCAAGGTTGCAACAGACCTTCAAGCTGTTTAAAAAAAAAAAAAAGGAATTATCTGCATGTGAAACACAACAAAACAAGGTATGCCTGAAAGTAGAAAACAAAATCCATTGACAGATTGCAGCTGTGTGTTTGTGAGAACCCTTCGTGTTGGGTCCTTTTGATACTTGATGGTATAATCTTTGCTTTGGTATCTAAAGATTTAGTAAGATCTTTGACAGATGCATTCTAGTGAGCTTGATATTTAGACACAGATATCACTTATATCTAGAAAACAACAAAAAGCTTTGCTATTGCATTGAACTTCAGCCTAAACATTCAGTAAAACCAGAGTACATCCAAAGATTTTTCAAAGCATGCCTAAGAGAGCTCTCTGCCTGAATAATGCATTCCTAACAAAACTAATTTTATATCCCTTGCAGATAGTCTCTCAACTTACTGTTTACACTACTACTTGAAGATGCCGTTTTTCCATTGATAAAAGTGCTATGATATGAGTGTTTTAGTTTCTTAAGGTTGTCTGTTCTTTCAGGAGCTTTTCTTTTAGAGGTCTGAATGGTTAGAACATGCCATTCAGTTGAGTGCTTTAATCCATAAGAGACTGGGTGTTTACTAAGCAGTATTTTGCCTTCTAAAATTAGCATACTAATCTTCCCTCAAAAAGTAACATGTTATCTTAATTAACTGTTTACAAATGAACTCTGTGTCTTCTGATATGACTTAAAACACATTAACAAGAAAGGAAAGGAAACTTGGATTAACTTTCCTTATGTTTCTATAGACCTGCTTGGCAAGCCTCTATAATTTGTGCTTGTTATATCCAAAACATTGCACTTCATTGTAGAAACAGAATCATATTGTTTTCCTGGCATAATTTTAGAAAACATGTCACATCATGCTTTCTGTTTTACTTAAAGAAACATACAGATTTCAGTCATGTTTTGGTTTTATATATTTTTCTTCTGCTGTGGTTGAAGTAAAACAACCTTACCCAAAAAAAGTAATAAAGTGATTGAAACCTTTTGTAGTATACACTAAGATAAATCTTTCCACATTAGAGATAGATCTTTCTATATTTTAAGGTATTACTCAAGTCCTATGATATAGTTTTTTAATCACAAAAATGGATTTTAAATCACAAGTGATGGGTTTTAAATGACCCTGGATCTTCAGAGAAGGTAGTTAATGGTCATGTACACTGAAGTGTATCTGCTGACTACTAAATTTACTGTTTCCAAGTATAGAGTTTATCTGAAATAATATCTTTTGAGGATATGTCTAAAGAGGTAGCAAGCATTTATCGGGCACTTCATACAGGCATTCTTGCATTACTCTGTTTAGAGCAATTCTCAAACTTTTTGGTATCAGCACCCCTTTACACACTTAAAAAAAATTACTGAGGGCCTTAAAAGCTTGGGTTTATAGGCGTTATATTTATTGATATTTGCCATATTAGAAGTTAAAACTAAGAAAGTGTTAAAATATCTGTTCATTTTTCAAAAACAATAGACCTGTTATTTGTTAACATCATATAAGCTTTGGAAAATTCTACCGTACACTTGTAACAGAATGAGCATGGAAAAAGACAAGTAACTTCTCAGTATCAAATAGTTTTGATTTCGTGGACCCCCTGAAAGTGTCTTGAAAACGCCCCGGGGTCCCCAGATCACACTTTAAGAACCACTGGTTTAGGGACTACCACTGCAATTGAAGAGAAGTGCCTTTACATCTTTAAGGACCATATAGTCTCTTTACAGAAATGCAAAAAAAGTATAGTTTTAGAATTGGTTAAAAGTCGTTCATAAACATTGTTAAAGAGTACAGGCATCGAGCTGTACTTTTCATCTCCGTGACATTTATTTTATGACTGGAAGTTCGTACGTCTTAAATCTCCACTATCTATTTCACCCTTTCCCCTACCCCCTCCCCTCTGGCAGCCACCCATTTGTTCTCTGTATTTAAGAGTCTGTTTTGTTCATTTGGTTTTAGATTCTGTGTATAAGTGAAATCATGTGGTATTTGTCTTTCTCTGTCTACTTAAGTTTTTCACATCTTTTTATATTTCCACACTAGTAGGACTTCTTGTAGCTGATAGGCTCTACTCTTCGAGCTTTGTATAGAAGTACTTTTTGAGGGGCGCCTGGGTGGCTCAGTCGTTAAGTTCTGCCTTCGGCTCAGGTCATGATCCCAGGGTCCTGGGAGGGAGCCCCGCATCGGGCTCCCTGCTGCGCGGGGAGCCTGCTTCTCCCTCTCCCACTCCCCCTGCTTGTGTTCCCTCTCTCGCTGTGTCTCTCTCTGTCAAATAAATAAATAAAATCTTTAAAAAATAATAATAATTTTGGACATTTGTCCTGAGTTCACTTAGGTTTCAAGAGATCCCTTCATTCTGGAATTGTAAGCTTTCAGTGTATAATTCTTTAATCATCTTATCACTAGCATTTATTATGCTAACTTTGTGTTAGAAGAGCCAGCCTGTTTTCACTGATGTTCTTTCGTTGTGTTATTAAAATTCAGTGACTAAAACCTTACAGATTATTCCCAGAGTTGATGCAGAATGGCTCTGTCATTGAGTACTGACTCAGTGAAATTCTGCATGAAATCCAACACTTAAAACAGTTGCCAGAGTACCTGTGCAGTAAATGTTTATTTGAATTAATAAAAAAAGAGACTACAGGCATAGTTCGTTTAATAGTTACCTTAATAATAACTACAGTTGTTTGTTCATAATGGTAGTGTTTTGACCACTGAAGCAG